TGTTGTTTTTTTTCTTGGGAATTGTTATATGTCTGGTATTATTTTTATGCGAAAGACTTAATGAGCCTCTGTCTCATGCAACCTGGCCTTGGATCCATCATTTGCCTTTGGAAATTTTCACTTGGACTTTGTTTTCTTCATGGCAAAGATGGTCTAATTTCCTGCTTTGTTTTTTCTTCTGGTCTTGTCCTTCTCATCTCTGGAAATGTACAAGCACCTATTTTATCTTGCTCATCTCTGTTTCTACTATAGATATATATTTTCTCTCATTATTTTTCATCTTAGCTTTCTTCTTATTTTCTCATATTGTAGTAATACTTTTCTTTGTAATAACAGGAAAGAAAACACCATTCTACTTCAAAGAGCAGAAGTGAGATTTTCACATCTCGCAAAGAAGACCCGACTTCTGGTTTTCTGATTCATCCCACCGAACAAAATGTAAAAGATGTAAATAAAGATTTTGCAGAGCACCACCAGAAGAAACTTTCGCAGTCAGGGCCACTAGGTCATGGGGGTGGATGGGCAAAGTCAGGGAAGAAAGAGGATGATCCTCGGATTGCTTCGTCTAGGACCAACTTGTCTACATTATCCACATTAGTAGCCACTAGAACTTTTTCATCCGAAGACCAACAAGAAAGAATTGGTCATTCACAGGCAGCCATACACAAGACAGGCAGGTACGGGGGTTCATTTAATGAATCGGAGTCAATCACAAAGCTGGATAGGAAACATAACGTGCAGAGGATTGCAGATTCTCCTCCAACCAGAGGAGGAAGAACAAGTATCAAAGAACCAAATATGGTGAGTTACTTCATACATTTCTTTCGTTATATTCTTATGACATTCGTTTCTTAACTCAAATTTCGTCTATTTTGTTGGCTACATTTATACATTTTGTCATTCACTTTTAAAGCTAACTTCAAATTGTCATTCACCTTTAAAAAAACTAAAAATGAATTCAGTATATCAATCTCTTTTGAGTTCATCTCCAAATGGGTTTAGCTAAATCCCATATGTTGGTCGTTAATCCTTAGCCAGAGAAAAGAAATGAGAGATTATGGCTGGTTCAATTGCCACTGTTCATCCCTTTTTTGTGCATACACTTTATCTCAAGCCTGATTTCTGCAAAAATATGTTTCTTCAACAGGTTCGTGGCCCTAAGGGAAATAGGATTTACGTATCCGGTCCATTACTTGTTCCGTCACAAAATGTGGATCAAATGCTTAAAGAGCATGATCATCGAATCCAAGAATTCACTCGACGAGCAAGACATGGGAAGAAGAAACATGGGAAAGTTCACACTCAAGGATTCCAACAAGCCATGAAGTGATCGTATTGACATCTTATGTTCCTCTCTAGTGGCGGAGCCGGGGAAATAGGTTGCCAGGTGCCCAGGGAGTGAGCTTATGTAGCCGGTAAGTTCTTGTGTACATATAAAGAAACACCTTGTTTTTAGTAGGTACTATGATTACCTTTGCAGTAGATATTCTTCTCTAATTTAGTAGATAATTTATACAGATCAGCATCAGAATCAAAGCCTGTGCAAATTTATTTACAGTTAAAAGTTTTAGAACTCTGTAGCGTATATGTTGGAAAGTCCAGCAAGGATGAATGTTAAATACATGGTATACTGTCTATATTCTTTATACAGAAACTAGCTTGTATTCCAATAGCCATTAAATGAATTTTAAAGGAGAAAAAATTATTCTCTTGGACCAATTACAGTCTCAATCCCTGTGGTTTACTTTCAACAATTCAATTTTCTTTTTTGCTTTTTACTGTTTGTTATTTTGTAGTTTAGTTTTTTTTTTATTATTTTATATAAAACTGTTGGCTTTTTAGAAATATTTGGAGTTAAAAAAAAAAGAAGAAAGAACTGGGAGGTTTTATGCATAATAGCCAATTAGAAATATAATCAAGTGAAATTATAAAGGAAAATTTATAATTTACCCTAATATTAATGAATACTGTATTCATATTATAAATATATATATATAAGCAGAGAAAAGGCTCTTTGTAAATGTTTCCATCATACCTTAACTTATTCTTTACTAGCTTGATATTTTCTCATCATACTTAAACTTTTTCTTCATGAATTGGATATTGGTAAATTCACACATCTAGAAATTCATTTATGACAATTGAACTTTCTCAAATCATTTTTTTAAGAACCCAAATTTTTTTTTTCCAAAAAACGAATGCCAAGAAGAACAAAAGGCTGAGTAAATGAGCCGGTTAACTCGCAAATTTGACCTAATATGCTCTGTTTCGGATGAGTAAACAGGTAAGGTTAAAAAAGTACGAGACAAGTATGAGTAAAAAGAAAACCAAATCAAAGATGAGTACGATAAAGTGTGTACTTAATTGGTATCTATACTCATTTTGTATCCATTTAGTAAATTTTTGCTGGGTAATTAGTAAATTTTTATAGGGTAATACCAAAGTTAGGCGGAGAGATGAAGGAAAGCTTCATATTACAGTCTACTATAAAGAAGAAAAATGGAAAAGAAAAAACAAAGTCTTCTGGTGCCAAAAAAATTGACTGGAATTCCCTAAGTTGCCTAACATGAGGATTTGGTCCAAGCTGGCTGTGGTACAAAACAAAATTCATGCAGATACCTGTTCTCAGTCTATGACTATATATATTTTGATCAGACTATGACTATATAAACCAATCATAAATTATAAAATCTTTTAGTTCATCTAAAATTGTGGAGTCCTTAATAATATTCATAGAGGGTGTACATCAAAAACAATTTACATTGCATTAAGTCACAAGAACAAAGTTCTCTCTTCAGTAGCATTTCCCACCTTCATCTTTACCCTCATTTACCTCTATACAAGAAAATAATACCATAAAAATAGAAGAGGAACCTCATAAAAGAAATGGAGAAAACTGTAATTGAATTTGTAAATATGATCCATTAACATGATTATATATATACTCACCAAGATAAACACATTATCTACCTGCCTTCTAGCATTTCATCTGAGTTTGTCAAGGATGTGGATATAGAGAGATTCTTAATTTCTTTAATTGTTGGGTGACCTCTGCTACCTAAGTTGGAATTGTACCTAGACCACATTGCTGATGTTCTAATTCTCTCTAGCAAGTTTAACTCTCCGATTTCGCCATTTCCCACCTCCAAAATCTCCACAACTTGCCTCATTGTTGGCCTAACTTGAGGATCAGGATGAGCACACAACAAACCCAAATGCAAAATTCTTTCCACATCTTCTTGATTATATCCCTGTCTGGATTTTAACTGATCATCGAGCGCCAAAACCAACTCGTTCCTCTCCATTAGACACCATAACCGATCAACCAGGCTTGGCTTCCCTTCTTCATTTGGTCTTTGACCACAAACCACTTCTAAGATCAACACACCAAAGCCAAACACATCTGATTGAGTAGAGGTTCGCCCAGTTGTCACCACTTCCGGTGCCAAATATCCTACAGTTCCTACCACTTGTGTGGTGGTAGCTAATTCCTGTTGATGATGATGTATCCGTGCTAATCCAAAATCACCAAGCCTTGCATTCATGTCCTTGTCAAGCAAGACATTGCTTGCCTTGATGTCCCTATGCAAGACTTTAGCTTCCCATCCTTCATGGAGATACAAAATCCCATTAGCTGAATCTTTCAAGACCTTGATTCTCTCTTCCCAACTCAGCATTAAACTCTCATCACAATCAAAAATCCTCTTGTCCACACTCCCATTTTCCATATAATCATAAACCAAAGTCAAACTTCCCTTGTCTTGCTTACACCACCCCCTCAATTGTACCAAATTTCTATGCTTCAATCTTCCTAAGCTTGAAACTTCAGCTAAGAATTCTCTCATGGCATTCTCACTCTCATGGTGGATCCTCTTCACCGCAACTTCTGTTCCGGCCAATATCCCTTTATAAACGGTTCCATATCCTCCGGTTCCAATCACATTTTCTTTGGAGAAACCATTTGTTGCAGCATGAATCTCCTGGTAACTAATCCTATGAGGCCAGTACTCTGTCTCCCAATCTTCAACATCATCTTTCAGCACTCTACTCTTCTGTCTCCTATACAAAAACACATAAACAACAACTCCAATCCCAACAAGAAGCACACAAGCAACACTGACACCAGCAATAAACCCTTTTGATTGAACAACTGAATTCCCACCAAGAACAAAAGAAGGCAAATTTGTTGTCACCAAGCATCACCAATAGAGAAATTAGAGTTACTAAAGCTCCATGCCAAAATCTTGTGACTCTCAACTAATTGCCCTGTTGCCCCACAAAATCCCACAAACATTTCATCCAAAACACTCCATTTAGATTCACCAATTCACTTATCAAAGGCCTCCTTGGCCTTTTCATCCCAACTTTAGCCATGGTTACATTAATCCTTGAACTGTCAAAATCAATCCAAGCCCGGTAATTCTCACCATTATTTAGCTGCAACTCCTTGAACTTATCATCATTCTTACCTCTCCAAAACCCTGCCGTACTCGAAGCTACAGATGCAAGAGAGTTGACATCAATACCCACATGATTAGCATTCATATCACTGAATTCCTGGTTTGCAAACACATCAAACTCAACACCAAATATATTGTTATTGGGATCGCCGTTGTTGGTGAAATTGAGCATACCCAGATGCTGAGCAGAGCTGGCGCCGTCAATGCCCATACGGGGCATGAAGATGAATGCGAAGCCATGGCCGGGGAGACGATTTCTGAAAGGAGCAATTGAGAAGATGAAGGAGGTGGAGAAGGGGAGAAGGGTGGATGAATTGGGTTGTCTTGTGGGTATTTTGGAAGGGAAGAATCCACGGCCAATAGAGAAAACGGTGTCGTTTGTGATGGAGAGAATGGAAGAAGAATCAATTGCGGCAATGCCGAAGGTGAGTAGATTAGTGGAGTTGAAGTTAGTGTTAAAGACAAAATCAAGGCACGATGCTGAGTTGCAGAGAAGGGTAGTTGTGGTAAAGATGAGCAGAAGGGAAGACTGTGGAGACATCAGAGAAAGGAGAAATCTGGTTTGAGATTCAGAAATGGAGGAAGAAGATATTTTTCTATTCAGTGGTTTCCATTTAGCTCGGTAGAGGAAAATTCTACACCAAACCTTTTCCCGGCTGCTGGTTTCACTTACTTTCCTGTTTTGTTTTTGGGAAGTTTGGTAATTAATCAAATTCAAAGGGGCAGTTTCCTAAATTCAATTTTGACACGAAAGGAATTACCAAATTTAGAGGTGCATTTATATATCACTTCAATTTAAACCTAAAGAAAGAATTTAATTTTCTAAAGAAAATTGAGTGTAAAGACATTTGGCCAAATCTCCATAAGAATTGTATTTTGAAACATGTGATCTCAAAGACCATGTAAATTTACCCAAGCCCAAATAAAATTCAATTCATATCCCAACCCAATTTTAAAGCTAAATATATTGGAAATTAAATAAAATTCCTCTTTTTAGGAACCATTCCAAAAAACAAAATTTCATTTTGACCCAAATTCTAAAAACCTAATTCTGAAATACCCAACTCAATTCTGTGAGTTTAGCCTAAACCCAAATTAAGCTTCACCCATTTCTAAATTAATACTAATTTCAGATAATCCCGTCCGAGCCGGATTTTACATATCCGATTCATTTCTTACTTAACTTGTTCTATGTTATTTTACGAAGATCTCTTCTTTTTTAAGTATGACACTGCCGCCCTCTTTATATAGTATCTGTTAATTCAGAATTGATTTTGAAAGTCATATTTCGATCTGGATAGTTTTAGAATACTTTTAATAATCAACAAATGATAATATATTTTTTTTTACGTGTACCGTATTTTTAATAAAAATTTTACGAGTTGATCCGTCTATATGTCTTGTTTTTATTGTTATATTGGAAGTTACTCTATGTGTTGTTTGGCGTAAAACAAATAGTAAATTTTTTTAAATTTTTTGTTGAATTTTTTTATATAAAATTCAATAGAAAATTTGATAAGCTAATAATTTTTTTTTTTTTTTTGTGTTTCGTAATACGATTAACTAGCATTTTAACTAATTGATTACGTAAATCAAATTAAATTTTGCGGAAAATTAGAATTATCTTTCAAATGAAAGAAGTTATGTTTGTTTTTTTGGTTTAGATGGTATTTCTTTATTATCATAAAAGTAGATATTGAAAATTCGACTCTTATATAGTGTAAAAGTACAAATATATTACATTGTACTAAAATAATTTGTTACAATTTGAATTATTTATATAACTATTTATAAAAGACCATAAAATTTTTTGAATTAAACATTAATTACATTTTAATCTTAAGTTTAACATGATTATATAACTCGTGATTTATAACATAGAAAACATAAAAAAAAAGATACTATAATATATATATATATAATTTAAATATTTTGAATAAACTAAGTAACTTGTTCATAATTTTCTTCTACAAATATTAAATTTGTGTGTCATTTTATACATTAAAAACTAATCATCTCCATCTTTTATTGAACTTAATTTACTGAATTTAGATGGAAGTAGTAGGCCCAAATTGATGTAATAAAGTGTATCTATGACTATATTTTATATCCCCAATTGTCTTTAAATGAAAAATAAAGTACTAAAGATATATCTATTTAAAAGATAAATTAAACACTTTTTGTACTAATTTAAACGGGTAACACTTTATTACTTTATGCTTATAAAGTATAGATATATCATATACACACAAAGGGAAACATACATATATACATATATATATATATACATAT